AGACTCAGATGCTGATGGTTCAGCTGTGGTAGGGCAGAGGTGGTAGGTGGTCAGAGCGGCCTCTCTCAGGAGGTGACAGGTAGGCAGAAGCCACAGTGACAGAGAGAACAAGCCATATCCACATGTGGTGTGGTGCCAGTACTGACAAAGAAAACAAGTGCAAAGGCCCTGAGGCAGGGAATGCATGTGGTATGTTTCTGGCTGCAGCAGAGGAATGGTAAAGGGGAGACTGGAGAAGTAACACATCCAGATCATGAGCACAGTTAGGCCACTGGGTTTTGGTTTAGGCTACATGAAAGGATAAACTCTCAAGTTGTTCAAAGACTCCCACAGGTCCATATGACCTGGCCCTGGGGTTCCAGCCATCTCTGTTCCTAGATCTATTCCTCCCATCACAGGACCTTAGCACATGCCTTCCACCTGGAATCCTGTCCCACTCCTATCCTTTTTCCCCCTAGTTAACTCCTATCTGTGCTTCACATCTCAGCCTGGCCAGGTCAGCAGTCCCTCCCTCCCTCCAGCACAGAAACAGAGTTCTCAGTACAGCAATGGAACTTGACAATGGCTTCTTACAACCTCCTCCCACGGTGCCTCCTCTGAGAAGCCCACGCCCACTCCCCTTGCTCCTTGCCACTCCCCAGGCCCCCTCTCTCCCACAGCCCTCTGTGAGCCCCTTCAGGGACAGGAAGATCATTGCCATTCACAGTATACACATCTAGTACTCAGAACAGAGCCCCAAGCCACACAGTTAGGTGATGACTGCAGCATAACTAAACAATCTCCATTTTACACCTGAGCAAACCTGGGCTTCCTGAGAGCCTGAGATTCCTGGGTGGGCTGAGAGGTTCCCAGTAAATGGAGAGCCAGGGGCAGGCAGGAGGCTTCGGTTCTCATCCCTTTTGGGGACATCACCTGTCCGCTGCCCTGGAGCTCAGCACCAATGCGGCACCTGCTGGGTGCTCATAGATTGTTTCCTTACAGTATGTTCTAGAGATTCAATTTTGAAACTGGCTCCCGTTTAAAAGGAAGAGGGAGAGGGCTTGTTAGAAGGCACTTGAAGAGCTCCAGGAAGGAAATTAGAGCCAATAAATGAACTGCTGCTGTATATAATGTAACTGTGGGCAATGCAGGGTGCAGGAGAATTGAGAGAAATAAGGGTGGGTTAAGGAAACCTAGGCAATGAAAAAATACAGCAGATAGTTAACTCCAGAAAAACAAAGAGTTGTATAAGAAAGGAAATGCAACCAAAATACGTGACATGGCTTAGTAGGAAACAATATTTATAGGGCCAGAATATACATAACATTAAATATTCATTTAATGAAAAATCAAGATACATGTAGATTGGGAGATGTGAGTAAAAGCTCAATCTTCCAGCCAGGCGTGGTGGCGCATGCCCATGATCCCAGCACTCGGGAGGCTGAGGCAGGAGAATCGCTGTGAGCTCAAGACCAGCCTGAGCTACATAGTGAGTTCCAGGTGAGCCTCAACTACATAGGGAGACCCTGTCTCAAAAATCAAAAAACAAAGCAAAACAAACAAACAACAAAACAGCTGAATCTTCCTTTGTAATAAAAATAGTTGTATGTTATGCTAAGCGCTTCACACCTTTAAGTCTAACAGTCCAGTAACAAAAATATTTTTATAGCTCATTTTATAAATCAGAAAATGGAGGCACAAGGAAGACCAAGTCACTTGCCCAAGTTCATAGGGCCAGAAAAGGAAGGGCTGAGATCCAAGGTCAGAGAGTCAGGTTGCAGAAGTGACTCTGCAAAGACATCAAACTGGAAAGTCAGTCAGTGTTTGCCTAAATTTAATCAGCAGGAGGAAACGCTATTGAGAAATATGGAGGAAAGTACCAGAGTAAATGCAGAGCTGAAGGCGGTTGGTTGCCTTTGGGGTGCAGGACTGGGAGGGAAAACATGGGACCAAGGAATGTTTTTATTAATGCTCTTTAATTTATATAAGTCTATACACATATCTGCCAGGTGGAGGCAGGCACCAGCAGGGGAAGGACAAAATGGAGCTTTCCATGGTGACAGTGATGCTTCATATCCCAATTGGGGTACAGTGTGCATTTGTCTGAAATCAGCAAATGATAACTTTAAGGGCTGTGCATTTCATTGTATGCAAATTTTACCTTCAGGGAAAAAAAGCACAAACACTGAACTCTAACTAATAATATGTATGTGGAAATGCCTTGAAGGGAACAGCACACTGGTTTGCAGCTTGCTTTGATGAGCTTAAAAAAAAAAATAAGTTGCATTACTGGATGGATAGAAGGATGCATAAAGGGACAGATTCTTGTGAGAGAAAATACAGCAACATATTAACTATGCATTACTAGGTGAGCATTATGATTACTCAGTATATTTCTATCAAGTTTTCTTTATGTTTGAAATTTTTCTTAATAAAATTCTGGGAGAAATAGATGAGGGTATTACTTGAAAAATAATATTCATTGTTAAGAACCTGCATGGAGTGTTCTGTCTTGGGCCTTGATGAACCCTCACCTTTAAGTCATCCCATGTAGGGCAACTGTCACCATGCTTGTACCTGTGTCCCTGCCCTACCGCGGGACCCCAGAGTTCAGAGACCTACGGTCTATCTCCTTACCTCTTTCAATGCCTCTGTGTACGGCATGTCAGACAGGATGGAGATGCCCTCACCCCATTCCCCAGAAATACCTCAGTAGCAGAAATAGAACCATTTACTTCACTTCAGAAGGGCAAAGTGAGGTCCAGTGGAGGGGGTCCTTTCCCAGGAGCCCATCACACCTCCACAGCACAAGTGAGCCGCCAGGTTGCCTGTCTCCAACCCCACATGTATATAATTAGCTGGTGGGAAATAGATCAGGGAGCAGATCTCATCTCTACCTAATTAAGGACCAAGCAGCTGGGGCTGGGCTGGCCTGGGGGAGCTGCTCTAAGTCTGGACAGCCCCAGGAGACAGGGCAGCAGCTGCAGGCCTCGGAGGGCTGAAAGCAGCAGCGGCTGCTCATAGGGGCTCACACTCCAACTGGAGGTGAAACAGTAAAGGGGCTGTTCCTGCAGAGACCCCAGCCTGGTGGGGGAGTGGGACAGCTCCCATCCTGCTTCCTCCAAGGATCCCTGCATGGCAGGCGGGGAGGCTGTACACCCTGGAAGAGAGGAGCCTTCCTAGGACCAAGCAGCACCTATTGGAGAAATCAAGGCTCAGCCTGGTACCTCAGTCCCTTCCAAGAACCTTCCTGCATGACCTGCCTCGAGTTCCTTCTCAGCCAATCCGGGACCCACCAGCACCTATAGTCTAAGGCAGAAACACACTTGCTTCATGACTGTAGGAGAGATGTGCTTGCTGTTTTGTTGCCTCTTCTCTCATCCCAGACCAGGGCAGTTACCTTGTCTGTCTTATCCACTAGTGGGCACCCAGAAAGTGCTCGATCCAATGACCAGCAGGAAAGGCTTCCGGATGCAAAAGAGAGGGGTATGTATGCCAGACAGCTGGGACTCCAGCATGCCACTGTCTGGAAGGTCCACAGGCAAAGGGGTGGCCCCAGGCTGTCCTACTGACACTGTGTGACAGCCCACAAGGCACCCCCACCCCAAGTTCAACCTCCAACTTTAAGACAATACTCCTGACCCTTCAAAGGTCATCCTGAGGATGCAATGAGAGGGTAAGTTCAGTACTGACACCTCCTGTAGGATCAAGGGCTCACCCCCCCCACACACACACTGGTCCTGAAACCTCAACTTCAGTTTCTTCATATGCAAAAGGCAGCCTTGGGTGGCAGGCAGCTGCAGGTCACAGCAAAGGGCAAAGAAGCAGAGTCCAAAAGGGTTTCCCAGTGTGGGTGGCCTCTGACACCTCCAGGGGCAGCACCTCTGCAGAGTGGCCCAGATCATTCCCTCAATCACTCCCTGACTCAGGACCCTGAAGACCCAGCGCCCATGCTGTCAACACTGAGCGACACCCGTGGGCAGATCATGGCGCTCCTTGTGCCTCAGTCTCCCCATCACAATGAGGGTTGAGCCCATTCTCATGAGCTCACCTCTACTGTACAATCTCTCCTTCTGTCCCAGTCTTCCCAGGCCCCCAGAGGGCTGGTAATGGACAGAGACAGACAAGACAGCTGGGCTGACTTGGATGTTTGTCAACAGCCCAGCAAAAATCTTTCTATGCTTAAAGAAAAACCTACATCAAATCTGTCACCAGGCCCCCATTAGCACTTCCTGTTTCTCAGTGCAGCCAAGGCAGCCTGCAAAGAGGAAATACCACCCAGCCCTCTCACTGCCACTCTGGGGGACGGCCAGGCCACCTCAGGCTGTCCCCTTTTTTGTCCATCCTAGCTGTAGCTGCTCCACCAATGTAACTAACCTGGGATAAGACTAGAAGACCTGAAAGCCCAGGACCAGCCCCACCCTGCCCCTTCCCAGGCCCTGAAATATAGCACGGAGTGCCCAGAGGATCCCAACCCAAGGAGGAGGTGCCACCAACTTTCTAGAGGCCCACGAGGGATCCTGGATTGTCCAGGGTCTCCCAGAGTTAGAGACCAGGCCACCCATTCTGTGCTGTTCTCCCCAAGTCCCTCTTCTTTCACAGCTCCCACTTCTCATCCCACTATGGCCTGGGTGACCTCAAGTTCAGGGTTTGTCCTCTCTAAGCTTCCTGCCCTCTTGGGAACTAGGCAAGGGTGAGGAAGGGTGGAAACTTCAAGGATGGGGGCTGGGGAATCCATGCACTGACAGCCTTGCCACTGGAAGCCCGCTTCCTGGTACAGAGGAGGACTCCAGCCCTGGTCCCAGCTGTCTGTACTCCCTGTGGCGGGGCCCAGTTTCCTCTTCTATGGAAAAGCCAGCCTCTCAGATGAGTTAGGATCCGTGTCGTGGGCAGATCTCAGGCCAGTGGCTGACATCCTGCTCTACCAGATCTTGGGGTGATCAATTAATCAATTACAAAAGACTTCTCCCACGCTCCCTATTCCTTGTGAATACAGAAGAATCTGAAGACCCAGCCCTTGAGAAAGAAGCATTTGCATTTATTAACCAAGGGAAGAAGGGCAGAGGAGTGCACACTCCTAGTCAGTCCCTCCTGTCTTCTACCCACCTAAGCCAGCTGCCAAAGGTCAGGAAGAGCAGTAGACAGGCCCCCTCCCCCTGCCCTCACCCCAGGATGAGTTCCCAGGAAGCTGGGGCCAACCGAGTAAGGAAGAGGAAGTCAGCAAAGGACTGAGGCCAGGAAGGAAGGAGGAAATGGAGCCACTGGGTATACAGGCTCGGCAGGTCCCCAAGCCCCTCACTCTCAGTGGTGAGAGTTAAAACATCTCAAATCCAGCCTCACCAGAAGAGTCAAGCAGGCTCTTGACTCATGTCAGAAACCTTGTATGTGGGGCAGAGGGCTCGAAGGTCAGGAACAGCCCTCCCCAGTCCTTGGTCCAGGCCTCAGCCTTTGGCTCTATACCAAGTTCACCCAGGGACCATCTCTGGTCTATCCAGACATGGAATGAATGCTGCAGGAGCAGTCAGGAGGCAGCTGCCTCTCCAAGACCTGTCCTGTGGTGAATTCCACATGGAAGAGAGACCTAGCCGTCAGCCGCAGGGGTCTCCCGTGCCTGCCGTAAGCCATACAGCCACTTGATCACACGGGCATTACGCTCCACCGCAGACACACCATAGGGGGCCCGCTCCCGGGCGCGCTCCTCCACTGCAGCCGAGCTTCGGGCAGAGTAGCCCCCCTCAGAGCTGCCTGGCTCAGCACTGGGCCCCGCCAGGGACACGATGTCTGAGCTGGCCCGAGCCAGGTGGGCCACCCCCAACCCCCGTGCCTCCTCTGGGTCCAGGCCGCAGAAGTTAAAAAAGCGCTCAAGGTCAGCTGCTGCCCGGGAGAAGCGCTCGCTCAGGTCCGACTTAGAGCGCTGCAGACCCGGTGGCCGCACTGGGCTGGAGGCTACAGTTGTGCCTGGTGATGGGCAGGGCCCAGCGGGTGACACATGTGGAGGGCGAACGTCCACTCGGCGGACAGCAGCTGTACTGGGCAGTGGGCGTGGAGGGGTGGCTGGGAGGCGCTGGGGGGTTCCCTCTGCTAGTCCAGGGGTTCGACTGGCCTCAGCAGTGGACACCGGGCTATCGCACAGGTTGATGAGGCTGCTAAGGATGTCCAGGTCTAAGTGGGGCCGGCAGCCAGGACCAGGCAGAGCTCGACGGCTGGGTGTGAGCACTGTTCGGCGAGTCCCTGGGCTAAAGAGTGGCTGTTTAGACAGCAGAGGCTGTACAGGCTCCTGGCGGGTGCTGGCCACATGCAGACTCTTGACATACTTGGCCTTGTCCGCTTCCAGGCGCTCCACAGCACTGAGTTTCCGGGCTCCACCATCCACTGGCCTCCGTAGTAAGTAGCCAGGAACTTTGGTCCGCAGGCGGAAAGGAAGAACAGGCGTGGCTGGGGCTCCTGGTGTCAACGTGTCCACCGGCATGGCTGTCACGTTCCTCAAGGGCGTGAGTCTTGAAGAGACCATAGACATAAGGAGATAGGCATCCAGAAAGAGACGGCAGCTGGACGCGGCACCGGCTGCAGCAGGAAAAGAAAAGGAGATGAAAACACTGAGACAAAGGCTCAGCAGAGGCAGCAGAAGGAAAAGACTCCTGCTCCATTATAAACTAAAGGCCACACCCCTGCCTCACAGGGAGCCAATCAGTAGGCAGGAAATCACTGAAGAAAGGCCGGTGGCCCCACCCACACCGCTCTCGGTCCAGCCCAGCTGATCACACTCAATGAAAAAAGGTGCTGGAGAATAAAGACAAGGCCCACTTCAAGCCAACAAAGCAGGCTCACGGCTCCACGCTGAGCACCAGCCAGCTGGGCCTTTGAGTCCTCTCACAATCCCACTGTGTGAATGAGGAAATTGACACTCAGGGAGACAATCACCTTGCTTACACAAACCCAGCAGCTGACTCCACTAGCAATGCCTAGCGGAGGCACTGGGGATGAATGACCAAAAGAAAGGGTTCCAGCCCCCCTACCATGGACTGCCCAGGAGCCTGGTACCATCGCTGCCTCTTACCCAGCCAGGCAGGAAGCTGCTCTCTATGCCATCCACCTGCCTGGGCCTGCCAGGCCCCAGGCAGAGAAGCAGAGTATACAGGGAAAGAGCAGAAAATCCCCGCCGTGCCCCAGTGGCATCCAGACACCATCAGCTTCCAGTATGAGACCCAATGTCAGGCCCATGGTGGCCCACTGATGCCTGTCCAGCCAGAGCTACACTGCTGCAAGGAACGTAGAAGTGCCCAAGATCACACAGACCCCAAAAGAGATCCAGCCCTTGTCCTGCCAGCAGCCACAGGATGGGCACTCACCACAGAAGGGCACGCCTGGGTACACGTGGTCACCCAGGCATGGGGCCCAATGACCCAGGCATCAAGGCAGTTCCTGGGGCTAAGGCTTGTGACAAAGCACCACCATTCTTCCCTGTCAGCCAGGCCCCTGGAGGTGACAGAGAAAAACCCACACATCAAATCCAGAATTCTCTCATTAGTAAAATGGAGGGGACAGAGCACTTAGCCAGGGTGACACAGAAGGACTTGCAGTTCAAGCCATGCAGGGCTGTCCAATTCAAAGACCACTAGTATTCTATGGCTGTTTAACCTTGCTTAACATTTAAATTAACTGAAAACTTAAGAATTGGTTCCCCAAGACACACGAGCCATATTTCAAATTGTCAACAGCCACAAGTAGCCAGTGGTCATTGCAGTAGACAGCTCAGAAAAAAGCATTCACACCCATGGCACAGAGCTGGACTGAACAGCCTCCTGGGGCCCGGAAATCCAGGAGGGAGGGGTCTGCATGGTAGGGGCTCTCTACTGTGTGCCAAACATTTCTCTCTGGAAATCTCCAACAAGCCTGTTGGCCACAATCACCGCCTTCTACAGATGGAGAAACTGGGACTCAGAAAAGTGACAACGCTAGGTCCCAGAGTAAGACAAATCCATGTGAAACTCACCCTAAGAACACTCATGCCAAGGGTTTCTCCCCACAGCACTCCAGCACCTCCAACACATACACAATTTCTTGTTCCCTTATCACCTTCACAAGCACCATATAATTTGCTGTACATGTCTATGGTTGTTTTACACTTTGTTTTCCTTCGTGCCCTAAAATATCACTCCAAGAAGGTGGAGGTTTGGTCTGTTTTGTTCACTGGGTCTGCTTCATGATACCGCTGTCGACACAGAGTAAGTATGCAGCAGATAGTCATTGACTTGAAATGCTTGTGGGAGCCTGACGCGCAGGGCCAGATTGTGATAAACAAGAAAGGGGCACCCAGCCCACCACAGGCATGTGGCAAGTGGCCCAAGGGGTAGGTGTTGTGTTGCAGGGTGGTGGGATCCAGAAGCGCATGCAAACTCCGGGTTCTTAACTGTGAGCATATTCAGTAATCACATTTTTAAAAAATATTTGCACACATTTGACAAATAAAACAAGTCTGCGAACTTACCTGCCCCTCCATCTGCTCTGCCAGGCCCCCACTTTAGTCCTGGCAGCAGTGATGAACTGAGAAAAAGACCGGGGGCTGTTTGCCCAGAGTGAGTACTACTATGTGGGGGACATGGGCTGGTAGGAAAGGAAGGGACCCCTCAGGGCAGACCCCAGGAACCTCCGTGGGAAGATTCTGGCCATAACTGCTGAGCCTCATCCAGATCTTCCCCACCCCCACTCCACCCCCACACTGGCGGCCACAGCCACCCAAACCAGTCCAACCCGTTGGCGAGGGCAGTTCCTTCCCAGGCACCATGAGAGAAAGAGCGGAAGGAAGGAGGTCAGAGGAGCAGCAATAGAGCATAAAAGTCTCTCGATGCGCTTCAATGCCTACCCATTTTAACAAGCCCACTGGCCCCAGGGTCCCCTCTAGAAGGCAGAACAGATGCAAGTCACCAAGCCTGACTCTGGGGCCACTGGCCCAAGTTCTCCAGCTCGCACACCTGCCCCCACTGCACCTTGCACAAACCACAAGCCACTGCCCCTTTCCTTATCTGTGCAAGGCAGTTAAAAATAGAGCTCCCAGCATCTTCAGGTCACAGTGTCAGTGAAAGATCAAACAGGGTTGAGGACCTGCCTTGGCCCTTGGCGAAAGGGTGGCTGCGGGCTCAGCTCAGTCTCTGCAGTGCTTTGACAACTGACAACGCATATCACAGCCTACCACCCTCCAAGTTCTCTAAGCAGCCCCAGAAGTACCTGAGCCTGAGTAGTGATGGAGGCTGGAGGCGCAGGATACAGGTTTCAGTCCTCAGGCCTGCAAGCCCCATGCCATAGGTAGACAAAGGCAGGGTGGCTCCCCAGAGGTGAGGCCAGGTCCCAGGCTCCATATCCTCAGAGGCCTCCTCTCACGGCCCAAAGGCCTGGCCACCGATTTTCAAGCACTGCCCACGAGTGCCCCAAATGCACCAGCCCCAGCCCTCTTCTGTATTCCTGGGGCACACGGTCTGACTCTGCCCCTCTGCATGGGCTCCACTGGCTGCAGATTCCGGAGGAAGTGGGAAAAACTCGGATCCCCAGTTTGACTTCTGACCTCCCTCCCCTTTGGGGGCAACGTTGGGGTCTCCTGGAAGCTAAGAATGCCACAAGCGACACCTACAGGCCCTCAGCGTGCTGTGCCACACAAACGGCAGCTACCCCTCTCTAGGCGGGGCTAGCCGGGCTGAAATGAGCGAGCTGAAGGCTAGATCCCCAGGTCCCATTAAAGCCCAAAGGCGAGTACCTGCCTAGTTCCCGGCATTCTGGGGAGCCAGAACCTGGCTACCCGTCTCTTTAGCCCAGGCCTCCATCTCTGCCCCCTCCTGCACGTACCTGGCTGCAACGTCCGCTGAGCTGCCCTATGCTCCTCCGGCCTGCCCACCTGTGGCTCGGGTAACCCGTCTTTGCGCAACTTCCGGTGGCGGCAGCGGGCAGGTGAATCGCCGCCCAGGTACTGTATTACCCGAAAAGGGGGAAGGAAAGCCAGGGAGGGGCCAGAGCTGATCGGGATCCTGGATCCCCTGTTCATTGACAGTTGGCCAGTGCCAGAACCAGGTCAAAACCACTCCAGCTTACTGGGGGACTCTCATTCAGGAGCCAGTCTGATCCCACAGCCCACAGCTCACTGGAGCTCGAAGTCATGCATCCATTTAGAGACCGGAACACTGAGCACGCACACAATCTCAGGACCAGCAGTGAATGCTCGCTGGGCTTGGCACAGGAAAGTGTCCTTCCTGGTATTACTTAACCCATGTTAATCTTCCCCCAAGCCCCTGTGAGGTAAGCTCTATTGTCATCCTAGCTTGACTAATGCAAACCAGGCAGGGACAGGCTGTCACTTGCCCATAGTCACATGGGGGTCTAATCTGGCCACTTTCCCTCCAGACCAAGTCTTTTTTTTTTCTTCTTCTCCTTCTCTTTCCCCTTCCCCTTCTTCTTCCTTAAGTCCAGACCAAGTCTTAATGCTACCCTTTTCTATCTACGAGTCCCTAGATAGGTTGCTGGCCCTCTGCTCTATGATTGAGGGGTGCCTCCATCTTCAGGGACAGGCCAGTGTGACCTTGGGGGACTGAGGGTGTCCATACTTCGTACAAATTGTAAATGCCAGCAGGGGTGGGCGCAATCATTAAAACTACAATTCTGAGTGCTGGGCACTGAGCACTGGGCTCATTTAAACCTCCAATCCCCTGGATCCCACTATAACCCATTTCCAGAGGAGAGTGCAGCCCTACAGGAAGGAACCTTGCCAGGGCAATGACTCTCCCCTCTGCCACCCCAAGGCCTCTGCCACTCAGGTGAGCCATTTTTCCCTGAGAGACTGAGGTCCAGGGAAGGAGATGTCCATCAGCCTCAGACCTGGGCAGCCAAAGAGAATCTTCTTATTTCATTTCTTTGTTTGGCGGGGGTTGGGCCAGGCCTGGGGTGGAGGCAGAAGGGGCAGGAAGTGACTTGGAAAGCTTTCCTTCTTCTCCAAGCACTGAGCCCCCCCTACTCCTCAATTTTAGGAAGGGATGGACAAGACCATTGTCCCCCACCATGAGCTCTAGGCTCCCCACCTGGCCCTCCTTCAGGCACTAATAGTAGTAACTGCAAAGCACCATTGCATAATAAAAAAGAACTCATCTCATTTGAATACTCTGGACTAGGCACTGTTCTAAGCTCTTTCTATATGTTAATTCATTTCATTCTCACAGCTACTCTATGAGGTATGTAGTGCTGTTATTTCCATTTTGCAGATGAAAAAATTGAGACACACAGAAGTAAGACCACCAGCCTGAAGTCACCCAGCTAAGTAAATAGGCAGAACCAGAATTTGAACCTAGGCTTGGGTCTGAGGGGAGAAGGTAAAAGAGGGTCTCCAGCGTTGTTAGGCTTTGGTCACTCACCAATTATGTCCCCAATGGAACTCCTAAAGAATTTACAGCCTCCTTTTTTGGGACCCCAAAGGAGGAACAACCTTCAGAGGTACTCACAGGCTATGGTTTGGGGCCTCAGTTTCTTTAGCTGTAAAATGGGGAGAGTAGTGGCAATATTTTCCCAACTAGATCCCATCATAGCTATGTTTAGCCTTCCTATGGCTCCCTTAGAATAAAATCCAGCCTCCTCATGTGACCCTCAGATCCTCCAAGACCAAGTCCTTGCCCACCTCTCCCACCTCTTTACTGGTCCAGCCACAGAGCTCTCTTGCTGGCTCTGAATAGGCCAAGAGCTGTCCTGCCCAGGGTCTTTGCACCAGCTGCTCTCTCCCTGACCTCTTCCCTCAAGGCCTTCAGATTTTTCCTTCAAATCTCCTCAGAGAGGTCTCCCTGGCTACTCACCCTCTCACCCCTTTTGATCCCTTCCAAGTGTTAGCTGCATCGGGCCATTTTAGAGATTTGCCAGTCTATCACTGGTTTCCTGTCTTCCCACTGGCCTCCACCACACCCCTCTGTATACTCTCCCTCCAGGAACAAGTGCCAAGAAGAAATGACAGTGACAAAGTGGCTGGACTGGCACTAAGTCACCCATCAGGATGTATACATTAATACATACCGCTTGTCTGCATGTCAACCATACAATTTAAAATTTCAATTTTAAAGCAGAGAGGGGAAAGGAGATTAAACATATGTGTGCAAGCAACACACAAGTGCTACTGTGGCCTTAGCGAAGCTGACCAGCAACAGTGCACAACAGTCTGGCCTGATCTCAGTGATCAGCCGATTCATTAGAGAAGGGAGCACCTGACACCTTCCCCTCTGCCCAATTAGTTATCATCTTCCCTTTGTAAGTAATAATCATCTTTGGGAAAAGGGGAAGAAGACCAGGGTCCCTGGGCACCAACCCCACTTTGCTGCTGGTCTTCCTGGATCTGTCCCACTTTTTTCAGCTGGGCTCTGGTCACTTCTAGCCACACCTTCTCCTTCGTACAAAGACACCATATGTGACACTCTGCTTCCATGCCCTTCCTACTGCAACCCCAGCCTCCTTTGCTGGGTGCAGCATGGGCTCCAGAACCAGCCTGCTGGGGCTCAAATCTCAGCTCCACAGGAATACACAACTCCTCCATGCCTCAGTTTCCCAGCTGTAAAACAGGACCCATAACAATGCCTCCCTCTCAACTCACAGCACAGCGTTAGTCACAACAACTAAAAGGCGAGAGCAATCCAAGTGTCCATCAGTGAATGCAAGGCAAACAAAAGGTGGTGTGGATGCATGCAAAATAGACTAGCATTCAGTCTTTAAAAGGAAGGAAATTCTGTCACATGCTATGACACAGTTAAGCCTAAACACATTATACTGAACGAAATAAGTGAGACACGAGGCAAATACTGTATGCTTCTGTTTATGGAGGTATCTAGGTTCCATCATAGAATGCCCTAGAGTGCCCTAGAATGGTCAAAATCACAGACACAGACAGTAGAATGGTGGTTGCCTGGGGCTTGGTGGGGGTGGAAATGGGAAATTACTCTGTTGGGGATGGAGTTGCAGTTTGGAAAGATGAAAAAGCTCATGAGATAGAGAGGATGATCAGGGCAAAGCAATGTTAATATACTCACACCACTTAAGTTCCACTCACAAGTGGTAAAGATGACCAATTTAATTTATTTTATATGCACACACACACACACACACACACACACAAACACACCAGTGCAAATATGGAGCCAGATTTCTTGGATTCAAATTTTACCTCTGGGCAAGCTTTTCAACCTCTCTTGCAGCTTTTAAACCCTGTGTGAGATAGAAATAACAGCCAGGCATGTGGGGTCTCTGTAATCCCAACTACTTGGGAAACTGAGACAGGAGGATTACAAGTTTAAGGCCAGCCTATGCAACTCAGCAAGATCCTGTCTCGAAACTAAAACAACAAAAAGGACTGGCGATGTAGCTCAGTTCTCCTTGTATCTCAAAAAAATAATTTTTTTTTTAAATTTAAAAGATGGAAATAACATTCACAACAACCTTATATCAGAGAATACAGGGAATTAAAGCAATGTATACCTGTAAAGCACTTAGCACACAGTAGGTACTCAAGACATGTTGGTAATTTTTATCCTTTATTTAGGGGGTAAGAGGTGTGGTTTTGCTGTTAATCATTTTTATAACACGGCACCAACCCTCTCCTGTTCTTTCCACTTGCCTCTCTCTTTCTCTTCAGCAGAAGCCAACCTGGACTTGGTAGAGACATGGAGGCCCTTGCCTACCCCACAAGAGGATCAGGAAGGCTCCAGGCAGTAGGGAGGTGGTCAGCCAGCAGGACAGCCCAGCTCAATTTCAGCCCAGCTGTTCTGGTCAGAGACACCCTGCTTGGCACCCCCCAGGGCCATGCCAGGTCCTAAGCTATTTCTGGAGTCTTCCCAAGGCTTGTGCCCTGACCTGCCCAGGAGTCAGCCTGGCCAGGGGCAGCCTTGCACAAACCTCAGGAAGGGAGTGATGAGCAGGCTGCAGGAGCAGAGTGGGTGTGGATGCCTGGGGCATTGCACTCCTGCCAGGCCCAGCCATATGCCCACCTCTACCAGCTCAACCTTCTGGGCCTTGGTTTGTACCTGGAGTGGCAAAATGGGAAAAAAAGTGCTTTCAGTGGGGTCCAAATGACAAAGATGCCACATTCAAGGTCTTTTAGCACTTGAAACAGACTCACAACCAAGCCCACTTCCTGTTCTAGACTGCTGTCTGCCTGGGCTGAGCTCACCATCATAGAGTTCTATCTCAACCCAGACAAGAAGAAACTCATCCAGAGTCACACAGCGAGTTGGTGACAGATCACAAACAAGGCTGTGATCTCATGATTTTACATATATTTAATCACTAACTGTTTATTTAATGGTTTTTCAATGAGATGATACATCATGCACATGACTCAAATACAATACCTTTAAAGAGAATAAAGTAAAAAAAATAAATAAATAAAAAGAACAAATATTCCCCCATCAACTGTCCTCCTTGAAGGCACCACTATGATCAGAGAGCAGGCTCTCCTTCCAGAGAAAAGCAAATATGGACACAAGCTCTTCCTCTCCCTTTTATACGTACAGTACAGGCCATGGGCATTGTTCCACCTCGCACTTTTGCTCAATGATACCTATTGCTCTTGGTGCTAATTACTCCCCTTCAGTCCCTACTTATGGCCAACTCTCCAGTTTCTGTCTGTTATGAATCCCACTGATCACCAGTGCACCTACATAATTTCACCTAGAAATGGGACAGCTTGCCTCCTGGAGCACTTGTAACTGTGACAGAGACAGGCAGACTGTGCTCACTCCAAGGAAACTGTCTGCATTGACCTCCCACTAGCAGAGCACACAGCAAATGGTCAGCAGATGTTAGCTTTGGCTATCTTGATTACTGAGGTTTGGCACCCTGGATTTCATGCGGGTGAAGAGCACCCAGCTCCTGCCTCATGTCACATTCCAGTGGGGGAAGATAATACACTGGCTCACAAGTAAAATGCATTCAGCATTAGAAAACAAAACACACATGGGGGAGGCCAGGGTATAGGCAGTCAATAAATATGTGTTGAAAGAACAAATAAAGACTTAATTTTCTTTCAAGTTCTCTGAGCTCCTCTTCCCAAAGCTGAAAGGCTGATCCAGAAGAGGATAAGTAATTCTCTTCTGAAGAGATGCAAGACTCTCAACTCCTATGACTCTGTGTCAAAGCCCCTAAAAGTGAAGTCAGACGGACCAGGAGCCAACCTGTATTGACAACTCTGCAGCTTTAGGCTTCTCAGTTTCTCCACCCACAAAAGGAGACCAGCAATAAAAACCTGGGCAGAGGCGCCCCGGGAGGCAGAATACCTGTGTAGTCTCATACTTGGCACTCCATTTGGGAGGGTCCTGGCCCCACTCCTAACTCCAAAGTCCCTGGTGACTAGTGGCTCTGGCTTAGAGACTGCCCCTCCCCCCCCCGACCCAAAGCAGATCCCCCCCCCCCCCCGACCCAAAGCAGACGCCTAACAGTACAGCAGCGACTTCCAAGGCCATAAAATCTGCTGCCACCTCTAATCTAGCCCAGAAATGTCAAGACCGTCTGATTTTCCAAGAGAAGTACTCTGAGAGGGGCAGCCCAGGAATTCAGAGCCCAGAAGGCAGAAGGGTCCCAGAGGAGCCCTGATGATAATCCCTGCCTGCCTGGAGAGAGGCAGGTCCAAAATGGGTACCTTGAGAACGGTGCCTGTGTGGGGATAGGTGATCCAGCCAGGGATCCACGAGCCACGTCCCGGAGATAAGGGACTGAGAAAGTGACCACCGGTTGTCCGTCGAGGCTTCTCAAGGCAACTCTGCAAGCCCCTCCACTACAGGCAGCAAGACACAGCGGAAATAGTGGAACTACTTTCTGTACCAGACCTCGCCGGTCGAGGACACTTGCCTCTTGGAGTCTCAGCGTCCTCGCCGCCCTGCGGACACGCACAGCACAAGCTCGGGAAACTGGATCCCCTCACACCCGAGCTGGCACCCGGAACCCGCGTGCTCACCTGGAGCCCGCCCTAGTCGTGTTCCACTCCTCCCACGCGGGGACAAGAGAAGCTAGCTTTGACAGCGCCGGCCCAGGCCTGGAGTGGCCTCTGCCAAAGCAGCCCAGGAGGCTCCACCCGCGTGGTGGCCCGCAGGGATGTCTTCCGAACTGTCCTCTGCACTGCAGCTGAACCGGTGCCCGGGGCAGTCCTGTCGCCCCCGCCGGAGCGAAGGTCTGCAGTGCTCGGAGGAAGGGGAAGTGAGCGCCCCTACCCACTTCAGCGGAATGGTTCGCCCCGGACTTCCTGATTGGTTCCTCGCTTCCGTTCGAACGCCGCGCCGCTAGCGTTGCCAGGCGACCTATTAGTTTTGATGGCTGAGGCCTAGGCGTTGGCTCAGCGACCCCGCCTTCTTCTGCCCTCTGCTCTATCCTGGCGCCCAATTCTTTCCCTGCTTCTCCTTTACCCTCTCTCAGGTGAGACTTTCTCTGAGTCCTCAGCTAGAAGAAGTACTAGTCGGGGGCCCCTGGTTCGTTCCTAATTCCCATTTTGCAGTTAGCTTGCTTTGTGACTTAGAGCAAATCCCTTCCCTTCTCCATCCCCCTAACTGCACAAAAATAAGAGAATTAGTATTAAAATGTGCAGTATCAGCATTCACAAAGTTTACAAAGGCAAAAATTTTACCAGCAAAAATTAACATTGCCCAGCGTTTGTCATCATAGAAAAATTACAGAAACAACTTCAACACCCATTGAAAATGGATTGATTTTATACGTCATCAATGGATTGGTTTTATGTGTCATTTTATATGTCATCCTTTGGCATTTACATGCCAAAGTAGCTTTATATGACTCACTGCTTGTCAATGTTTATGACATAACCCTCTAAAACTTGTAATTATCGCCACTTTCTGATGAGGAGTATTTCTGATGCAGCCATTAAAAAAGATATATGTAAATTATATATAAAGATAAAGAGAAGTGCTAAGGAGGCATTGCACTTTTAAATGCATGTTTCAAAGCACTATGTGCAGAATAAATATATACTAGATATATAACCATAATATCCTCTATGTATGTGGATAAACATAATAATAGCAGTTAATTTCTTCTTTGTGTTTTTGTAGATTTTCCAAATTTTCAACACCTGTACATGTCAAGGAAAAAAATTTAAGAGGATAGGATAAATATACTATCAGAACTCTTCCAGATGAAGAAGTTGTCAATCACTGCTTTGGTCTGCATTTTTCAATTTGGAGCCATTTGAGTCTGTCTTTGGCTGCCAGTGATTAAATACTTACTGTGTACATTACATGCCTTTGACAGGCAGAGGTGGGGAGTAATTATCAACTGCTAACCATATTGTGCAGCCCAGCATGGGCAACAACCAATTCAGAACAGATAGCTGTCATAAACAGGGAATCTGGCTGTGTCTGTAAGGACCAGCTATGTATTAAACCTGGCACCAACCAAGTCCTCTGCTAGATAGAGCTCCAGGCTTATTTGCCCATTATCTCACCTGACTTCATTGCTATCTGACAAGGGAAATCATATTATTACTCCCATTTGATTTATGAGAGCCCTAAAGTTCCCTGAACCACTCGGCTGCATTCCCTGTACACATGTGAGAAGTGTTTGGCAGTAGTACTAAGGAAAGGAAAGGGAATGCTGTGGACCTGGAAGACACAAGAGAAAACTAAACAGGGCAGACCTAGGCTTTGCACTTCTTGATACTTGTACAACATAATGGGACTCCTTTAAGAAAAGAAATTTAAAAATCACAAGTATGAATTTAAGTAGTAAAGTGAAGATCTGATTAGAAAAAGAGAGTACAGCAAAGGACAAATTCCACAAATGTTTCAAAAACCAGGCAATAATATGGTGTTTATTAATTACCTATTTATCAGTTTCCTTTCCACAAACCTACTTTCCAGAACTAGCTTCTGGCTCAATGCATACAATTCAAACCTCCTCTCCACTACCATGTATTTGTGGGACTGGGCACTATAAAACCATGTGTATTTATTGAGGTGTGATCTCTGACCCTGGAATCAGCTCATTGTGCTCCATAGGGGTTCCCCTGAAGCTATTCCTACAGTAGATGAGTTAGTAATTTGATTACCCACAAAAGCAACTGAAAACAATATGCGTATATTTTCTACTATGATGCCAAGCTCCTCTTAGCCAGGTTCCCAAAATGCGTCCAACTATCCCAGCATCATCTAATATTAAAGGAAGTGAGAGCGGAAAGAGATGGTGGTTGTAACAGAGTGAGATTAAAATACCTTACCTTGGCAGATTTTACAGAATTTGCCATGTGACTGC